AGGAGGGCACTGACTATTCTAGGCTGCCCTATCTATGTTTCCTGGGAAAATACATGGGAAAATCCCATTGGAGGAAAATTCCACTTAGGGTTAGGGTTAGGTCACCATGGACTCATAGAGCAAAATGGACATCTCCAACAAATTCGGAGTGTTTGGATATGGTTAGGAGGGCACTGACTTTTCTAGGCTGCCCTATCTATGTTTCCTGGGAAAATACATGGGAAAATCCCATTGGAGGAAAATTCCACTTAGGGTTAGGGTTAGGTCACCATGAATTCATAGAGTAAAATGGACATTGCCAACAAATTCGGAGTTCTTGGGTATGGTTAGGAGGGCACTGACTTTTCTAGCGTACCCTATCTATGTTTCCTGGGAAAATACATGGGGAAATCCCATTGGAGGAAAATTCCACTTAGGGTTAGGTCACCATGGACTCATAGAGCAAAATGGACATTGCCAACAAATTCGGAGTGCTTGGGTATGGTTAGGAGGGCACTGACCTTTCTAGCATACCCTATTTATGTTTCCTGGGAAAATACATGGGAAAATCCCATTGGAGGAAAATTCCACTTAGGGTTAGGGTTAGGTCAGGGGTAGGCAACCCAAAACACTCAGAGAGCCACTTGGACCCGTTTCCCACCAAAAACAAAACACTGGGAGCTGCAAAACCCTTTTGATATCTAAAATGAAGATAACACTGTATATATCCTTTTTTTACCTTTATTGTAGGTGTGTGTGTGTGTGTGTGTGTGTTTGTGTGTGTGTGTATACATATATACATACATACATACATACATACATACATACATACATACATACACATATACACATTAAAAATAAAAGTAAAAATATGACTCTTGGGAATATCCATACTATTAAAACAGTGATCACCAAGAGAATGCTTTAAGAGAATAAAATTACATACACACACAGGTAAAAAAAGGATATATGCAGTGTTATCTTCATTTTAGATGTCAAAAGGGTCTCTCTCTGTCTCTCTCACTCTCCCTCCCTCCCTCCCTCTCTGTCTGCCCTTGGTCTGCCACTCCTCTTCCCCCACTCTCTTTCTCTCTCTCTTTCCTCTCTCTCTTTCCCCCTCCCCCCCTCTCTCTCTATTTCTCTCTCTCTCTCTTTCTCCCCCCCCTCTCCTATCTGCTGCTCACCTGGCAAGCTTCAAGCTCTTGTCCAACAAGCTCAGGGGTGGGCAACCTCGTCTCTTTTATGACTCATGGACTTCAACTCCCAGAATTCCTGAGTCAGCCTAGCTGGGCTAGCTAGCTCTCTCCTGCCCTTCCTGCTTCCTGCAGAGACGCAGCAAAGGGAGGAGCTCCGCCCAGTAAGCTTTTCAGCTCCTTGGAGAACACTGTGAGTGCACTCTCTTTTACACATACAGACACACACACACACACACACAGACACACACACACAGAGAGAGAGAAGCAGGGAAGTGCAATTGCCTGTCTCTGTCTCTCTCTGCAAAGGCAGAGGAGGCTGGGAGCCACAGGGGAAGGCTCAAAGAGCCACATGTGGCTCCGGAGCCGCAGGTTGCCGACCTGTGCCCTGGGCCATCGGGAAGAGCTGTGGGAAGGAGCAGGATCCCAGCACTGATCTGGAAGGAGCTGAGAGCCACCGGTCTCGTCCTCGCCTACCAACAGATCTGAACCTTTATATCTTCTTTTTGCGACAGCCTTGAGAAGCGATGAAGGGAGCAAGGGGGCAGGTGGGGGGACGGATCCAGGGAAATACTGGCCAGTCAGTGGAACAATGTTCCCTGCAGAAAGGCCCTTCCCTCCACTGCCCTGGAGCTCCCTTGGGAGATTCTCACGCAGACGAGGGAGAGCCTGGTCTGGAGGCTTCTCAAAAACCAGGCAGTGGCTGCTAGGTCAGCCTGGGGTTGTGAAGAAGAAACCTTGTGAGGCTAATTCACGACTTTTTCAGTGGCTCTTTTCCCTACTAGGGGGAGGGAAATCTCTGAACATTATCATCCACAAGACAGAAGAGGACACACACACACACACACACACACACACACACACACGCTTCATCACACATGCAATCCCCCAAAAAACCTCTGGAGACCCACTTGAACATCATCGGCATTGACAAAGTCCCTGTCGGTCAATTGCAAAAGGCAGCTTTACTGAAAACAGCTGACATCCTCTATCCCAGGTCCTTGGGCAGGTGGATAAAAATGCCGAATCTCAACGTCTGTCAGTGCAGCCAGCAGTCATAATAATAGCACAGAACTTTAATGGAGATAAAGTTGTTCACCAAATGTTTATTTATTGATTTATTAAATGTATATGCCCTTCATCTCACTCTGAGAAGTGTTTCTGGGTGGCTTGCAATTAAAATCATAAATACAAAAAGGTTTAAAAGATCAAATAGAGAGACAAGAAGGAGAAAGGGGAAAAAATACAATCAATTCAGGAAGGAGCACAGCTGACTTATTAAGATCTCTTGTGGAAAAGTTACTGGGATAATAACAGTGAATTGCAAATGAAATATGGATCGGCTGCCTGGAAGGGCTGGAATCAGGGCAAAGGCAGTTGCAGGCCAGGTCCAGGAGTGGGATTGGACCCATCAAGGATCATTTCCCAATCACAGCAATATTTCCACTCGGTTCTGCCTGGGTGGAGACACGGGGGGGGGGGCTCACTGTGCAGCTCTGGGCCCCGGTCGTTCCAAGAGAGCCCGAACTCGGGCAGAGAAAGGGAACCCGGAATGGAGGGGGGGGATGGGAGGAGCCTAAAATGTGGACTATGGGGAGGGCCAGTGGGGGTAGGGGGTCAACACGATAGCCCTCTTCAGAGACCTGAAGGGACAGGCATCACACCAAAGACGGGCAAGACCTGTTTCTCTCTCCAGAATGAGGGCACAGAATAATGGATTCAAGTTACCGGAAGGCAGATGGAATGCCAGGAAAACATTTTAGTTTCAAAAGAAGAAAAGAATTAAATGCAGCTGTACGTAACCTGGGACTCAGTTTGAGAATGAGGATGGGGTGGGGCAGGTAGAAGGGCCCATATAACCCTCTTCAAGCAGGAGAAGGCTGGCCCTGCCGCAGCTGGGCTGGTGTCGCCAGAGAGATTGCTGCACTGGGTGGTCTTGGCAGGCGGGGGGGCAACAGGACACTGCCCCATAGCAAGGAGATTCAAATGACAGGAAGGGACCTTGGAGGTCTTCTAGTCCAGCCCCCCACTCAAGCAGAAGACCCTATACCTTTTCAGACAAGTGGCTGACCAGTGTCTTCTTAAAAAACCCCAGGGATGGAGCTCCCACGACTTCACCAGAAGTGATGGAGGAATCCCTCTGCGGCTATGGGGGAGGGGCACGAAAAGTGTCTCCATTCCAAGCACCTCCACCCCTGCCTGGTTTGGGAGTGGGCTCTGCCCTGCCTCTTCTGCAGACCACCATCCCCCTGGCCATCCAGAGGCCGCTCTGGCCATCTGCAGAGCCCCTGTGGCCAGAGTGCAGAGGGCTGATTTTGGGCCAGGAAGGGAATTGTGCTGGGCGCAGATTTGACCCAGGAATGACTGCAAGCCAAGCAGCTGATTTGGACCGACCTCTCCTGAAAGGGTCTGACCAGGGGGTCTTGGCCTGGGACAGCCAGTTGGGTTCTGTGGTCCCCCTGGCTGCTCCTCCCCCACCTCTCCTCCCTCTGACCATGGTAGCAATCCCAGGTGGGCACCCTTGAAGAGGCTGGAGGGGTTCTCTCGCCTCACTCAGCTGTGGGAAGAGGAGGGAGCACTGTGGCTGGAGGGGAGAAGTGCAGAGAGTGTTTGCTTCCGTGGTCTGAAGCCTTAGAGAGGGTGGGACAGAGCAGGGATCGTGGAGAAGTTCCTTTCCCCCTTAGCCTTACTCACCCCCCCCCCGAAGGAGCAGCCTCAAGGGGCCACCAAGGAGACGCTGCAACGGAGACCCTCTGGGATTGCTTCCCTTAAATGCCAGGGAGCACAGAGGGGCTTCTCCTTCCCATCTCCTCTCGGCTGGCCTCCTGTTCACAGTCCCCAGTGTGGGACTCCTGGAACCAGAGGGGGCCTGGGGCTGGTTGCCGAGCACCCTGAGGAAGGGAGGCCCCATCTGGCAGCCCTCCAAGGAGGACCCGGGCCTGGCCTTCGGGTTGTCCTCCAGCCCAGGGCAGAGATGGGCTCCAGCACAATGCCTGAGCAGAGGTGTCCGAATGGGAGCCGGCCTGTGCAGCTGTAAAAGGACTTTGTGCTCGGGAGATCGTTGAATTGACCAAATAAGGCAAAGAGCTGGGCGGCTGGTTCCCGGCCAGGCCTGCCAAAGGGCCAAGGAGACGGTCCCAGGGGGGGGAGTGGAGGGGGGGCTTGCGGAATGCCCCAAACCTTCCCTAATGGAGGATTCTTGGAGGGGGGGCTGTAAGAGCCACAGGGCGGTGTCCAGCAGGGTGGAAAGAGGGAGGAATGGGGACATCTGCTTCCCCCAAGCTGCAGCCAAGGAAAAGGCAGGTCCTACTCCAGGCTCCCCTCCTGGGGAGAAGGTCGGCCCCAGGCTCCCCTCCCCCAAAGCCCCTGGGATGATGCTTAGGGGGGCAAGAACAGGGTTTGCAGCAGGTCCCTTCTGCCCCTTCAAGAGCCCCTTGGGGCTCTTCCTAACCACAGACAGCCCGGGGGTCTCTCCAGGCTCCGCCCTCGTGGGAAAGCCCAGCCTCAGCTTGGCCCGGCTCAGGGGTCTTCATGAGCCTCGCAATGCTGGGCCAAGGAAGGTCCGTCTGACATGTCCGGGGCCTTTCCCACGCCAGAGGCAAGGAGTGCAGAGATTTAATTTCAAGACGAGGCCCCGTCCTGCCCTCCGCAGGGCACCCCTCTGGAGACCCGCGTGCGAGGCCACCGGGCAAAGCAGTGAGCCCACCGCGGGGCGGGGGTCCTGCCCCAAATCGGCGCGGGCTTGGCTTTCCAAGATATGCTGCCCCGCCCCGTCCCGCCCCGCTGCGATTTCGCGGTCCCGTCGGTCCCTCCCCGCGGTTGGTTGGGGCGGGGACGGAGGAGGAGGAGGCGGGGAGGGCGGGGGCGCCTCTTCCCGGCCCGCCGCCGCCGCCGCCACCTCGGAGCCGCGGTCCGCCGCCGTCGGGGGTCTCGCGATGGGCAGCACCGCCGTGGACCTGGAGAAGCACGGCCTGGCGCTGCTGGCCGCCAAGAGCGACGTGGTGAACGGCCGAGCGGCCGCCAGCTGGTGAGTGGCGCCGCTGCCCTTCCCGGGCGGCCAGGGCCGAGGGCTCAGGTGCGCGGACTCCTCTCCCGGCCGGGTGGGCAGGCGGCCGATGGTGCCCTCGGCGGGGCCGGAACTCGGGGAGCCCCGGCGGGGCCCCGGACAGAGCAGGGCAAGCGCGACCCCGCTCTCGGCTTTGGCCCCCGTGGCGTGTCTCGCGAGTGAAGGAAGTTGCGCTTTTGCGCCGGCAGACCAGCTGGGTCTCCCGGGGACGGGAGCAGCGGGTGACCTTTCCGCCCGTCGCCTCGCTCGTTGCCCGCAACGGCTCCTGCTCTTTGCCCCCTGGAAGGCAGCCCGGCCCCGAAGCCGCTTCGCCCCCGGAAGTTCCCGGGTAAACCTCGGGCGGAGAGTCCAAAGGGAAGGAGCGGGGCCCTCCCGAGCCTCCGCCGACGGGAGAAGAGCGGTCCTGGGCTGTCCCTCCCAGCGCGGCCTGCCCCACCCCCGGCCTCGCCCCTTCCACTCCGGGCCCTTGCCAGTCCCGGCCGGCCGAGGAAGCTGCTGGGGGTGCGAGGGCCGCCGTCCCGAGGACCCTCCTGGGCTGCAGGGGGCGCCCTTCGGCCGCTGGTGCTGCTGCCTCCCACCTGCTTTGCCAGCCTCTCCCCCCCCCCAGCCCGGGAGCTCCTGGTGAGGGGGGGCGGTGAAGTGCTGTGTGTCTGGGGCAGACTGGTGGGTGACAGCTCTGCCCGCCATGCCATGAGAGAGAGGGCAGCTCAGCTCAGCGCTGAGCTCTTTCGCCCATCCCATCGCCCCAGGGTGCCAGCTGCTTCAGGAGCTAAGCTCCACCAGGAAGCTCTGGGTGCAGGAACGGGGCCTGCCAGCCCTGCAGCTTTGAGGGCCAGACGTGAGTTCCCAGCAGCAGCAGGAGGAGGAGGCAGAAGCCTCCACTCCCTAGGCCCCATCCTGGAAGGCTCCTTCCTCTTCAGCAGCTTTTCCCTTCTCTGCTCTTCAAGGGCCTGCCAGGAGCCCAGCCAGCCGAAGCTGGGAGAGCTGGCAGGAGAAAGGAAAGGCAGCCCTGCTGCCCCAGACGGCTCCTGCCATCCAGGCTGCTGAAGGGAGGGCCTGGCTGAGCTGGCTGCTGAAGCCAAACCTTTGGCAGGAAAAGGAGAGCAGTGCAGCCCCTGGGATCTTCTGCGTGTCCCTGGAAGGGCACTAGAGACAGGTGTGCACTCACAGCCCTTCTCTCCGCAAGCATTGTGAGTGCACGTGTGGCTGGAGGCCAAGGCCGGGGTCAGGCACCAGCAGAGGTTTTTTCAGAGCGAGAAACAGGGAGGATGGGGCGAAGGAGATTGGGCCCAGCCTTTGCCCTTTTCCTTGGAGGGCGCTTGGCACCACCTGGGCGTGTTACTCCTGCTCCGTAACCAAGCCCAGCCCCAGGAAGGCGGGATGGTGCTAGCACACGTGTGTCCGAGGATCTGCAAGACATTTGAGAGGGGATGGGAGGGGGGGCTCTGTGGCCTTGGCTTCCCCAGAGGGAAAGGGAGGATCCAGCTGTGTTTTCATCGGATACCAGCCCCCCTCCTCCCTCCCCCCCCAAGGCCATCCTCCCCTCCCATCTCCCCCCAAGGCCATCCTGCCCTCATGAGGCTGCTGGAAGTGCAGAGGGAGGGGCATGCTGGGGTCACCTCCTTCCGAAGGGCTGGTGGAGGGCTTGGCCCCACGTCTGCAGGCAGGGCCCCCCTCCGCCCCCTCCTCCACGAGGCCCCTTCAGCCTCCATTGTCTGAGAGCGGATGTCCTTCCTCCTGTTCAGAGGGGGAGACGGGGAAAGGGAAGCAACTGGGGTGGGTGGGGTTCCACCTGCCAAGGGCCCAGGCGAAGCTCCCCAGGGCTTTTCTCCTCAGAAACGGTTCTCAAAGGATGGGGGTGCCTGGCGGAGGAGGAATCTGTCTGGGGTGGAGGCAGGAAGTCTCTGTCGGCCTCCCCCCCCCCCGCAGGGTCCCCCTCCTCCAGCCATGAAAGGGGAGGGCCCTGGGCATGCCCGCCGTGCTTCATCTGGTGCCCAGACTGAGTGCAGCTATGCAGGACGGCTGGGGGTGTGGAGCTGGGCCCAGATATTCTCTGCAGCTGGGACAAACACATCAACTGCAGCAGTCAGTCGGCTTGTGGGGGAAAGCAGCTGTGCCAGGCAGCTCAAAAGCCCAGCAGAGCAGCAGACGTTGCCTTTCTGAGGCCAGAAATGAGGGGGCAGCTGGGGGGAGGAGGAGGGGCCCCCTTCAGTCCAAGGCACCCAAGGGAAGGCCTGGCTGGGCTTGGGCTGCCCCCCATCCGCTTGTTCAGGGCCCCAGTAGAAGATGGCCACACCTCTTGCAAAGGGATGAGGGGCTCTGGCTTGGGTCCCCCCCCCCACTGATTCCTAATGCCAGCCTCTCCCTCCCTCTCTCTCTCTCTGTCTCTCTGACACCCAGGGCCCTCTTTGCCTACCAAAATGCCAATGAGCTGAAGCTGCTGGACTCAGGGGGTAAGGCGGGAACCTCCCTCCCTCCTCCCCCCATAGATGACACGGGGGGGCAGCCGGGCCCTTCTCCACTCTGCCCGCCCTGCCTGGAGGGAGCATCTCCTGGAAACTACAGGGCAGCTCCCCGGGAAGGAGGGTGGGGGGTGGGGGAGTATCGGCAGGAGCGGTGGGCTTGGTGCCTGGGAGCCCCTGTGCCTGACCCAGCCTCCCCCTGCAGGAGGAGGCCCTGATGAACTGGCCAAGCGCTTCCAAAGCGGGCGCATCATGTATGGGCTGTGCCGCCTGTCTGAGCCCACCACAGGGGTGCCACGCGTGGTCCTGATCCACTGGGTGAGAGCGGAAGAGGGGGAGCTGGGGGGGCGAGGGGGTGTGTGGCTTGCAGCTGAAGAAAGAGCAAGAGAGACGGTGCCCAGATGCCTCTCGGGGGACCTGAATCTGGGCCTCTGCATAGTCGGTCCAAGCTAGGATTGCTCCGGCCTCAGGACCTGCGCTCAGCTCTCTGTCTTCCCAGGGCAGGAACACCTCCCGGACCCCCTCCTTGGGCCATCTCGGACGCCCTCACGATGGCCTCCCTTCATTGTGGTTTTTGTCCCCTTGGGGGGGTAGAAAGGCAGGCTATTCACGGGGGGGGAAGCCTTGCTTTGGGGGAATGGACGAACTGCCTCTGTGGGAGCTGCAGGCCACGAAGCCACGCCCACCCCGCTTCCCGGCCTTGCAGCAGGACAGGGTGGACACTGGCCGGGACGCTCTGCCCGTGTGTGGCCCTGAGAGGGAGGTGAGCCCCGGCACAGCCCCCCCTTTTCCTGCCCCCCCCCACTCAGTAGATGCCATTGGCGGGGGGAGCAGAGCTCACGCCACAGAAGGGCTGGCCACAGGAGAGCCTTAGTTTGCAACTCCGTTTTCTAAGGCTGCTCAAGGCCAGACAGTGGGGCTGAGTGGGTAGAGCACCTGGAAGGCAGGGAGGCGAGTGGCCAGAGGACCCCTGAACTCAAGAGACTCGTGAGGGGGGAGGCCAAGAGCCATTGGAGGTGGCAGCTCCTGTCTTTGAAAGAACCCTGGAAGAGGTGGTTGTATGGAGTGCGTACAGAGTGCGTTTCCTCCTGACCTCCCAAGGAAGGAAGGAGGAAGGGGTGCTGGATCTGAGCGAAGGCCTCTCTCCTCTGCTGTCTTCCACCCCACCCACCCCTGTCCCTCCAGAGGTTCAGTCTAGAAATAGCTGGGATTTTCCAGAAGGCCCCAACAGAGGAACTCTTGATATGCCCAGAAGGGGCTGCGGTGCCTCATCTCCAACTCCCTTGTGCTCCCTTTGGGGGGGGGCTGTCCCCGGGAGAGCCATGCCGATCTTGCTGGGGCACAGCCCCACCCTCGCAGGAGGCTGCAGCTGGGGGCTTCCGGAAGGGCCCGCCAAAATTGTGCAGCCGCTGCAGGAGTCTTTGAGATGGCCCCCTGGCTCCCCCTTTGGCACTAGGTTGGTGAGAAAGTCCTGGACTCGCGCCAAGAAGCTTGCGCTGGGCACCTGCCGGCCATCCGGGCCTTCTTCAAGGTGGGTCCTGTGCAGGGAGCAGCCCGATGTTCCTGGGCTGGAAATGGGAGTTGGGGGGGGCTCTTTTGTGGGTGAGAGAAGGCAGGAGAGGCTTGGGAAATGGGGAGAGGGGAGGAGGCTCCATTTGGGCCCGGCTCCCCCCCCAGAGAGGAAGGGCAGCTGCTCTTCCCGAAGGGGTTGGGGGGGGGATCCCTGCACTGCCGCCCCTTTTCTCCCTCTGCAGGAAGCCCACCTGGTGCTGAAGGCCAGCCGGGCGGAGGAGGTGACCCAGGGAGGGCTGACCCGCCAGCTGTCCCTGGTGGCCCCGCCAGAACAGCCCCCCCCAGCAGCTTCCGTCCCCAAGGAGGTCCTGAGTAGGGACCCTGAGGAACTGGTGGTGAGGAGGAAGGGAAAGAGGGGGCGGGGGTCCCCCACGAATGAATGCTTGCACCCCAGCTCATCACTGGTCAGGTTTCCCCTCTGCTTCCGGCAGTGGCAACTGTGGCCAGCCCCCCCCCCCCGGCAGCCCCCATGGGGCCCTTGGGACTTTTCCAGGGAAGGCAGCTGCTGTCTCTGGGGAGGGCAAGAGGGGCCATCGGCCTCCCCCCTTTCCTTCCCAGCGCACAGAGAAGGGGGGAGGCTGGGTTGCCTGGAGGGCCCCCTCCCTCAGTGCCCCCCTGCTCTGGCACAGGAGAGGAGGGGTCCCCTGCGGCCCCTCCCAGCTGCCTGCCTGGAGGGCATCTTGCCCGTTGGCCTTTAAGCAGCTGCACCTGGGGGGGGGGCTGAGGGATGTCCCCTCCCCAGGTGAGAGAGAGGCAGCTTTCAGGGACCACCTTGGTCTGTCCTCAGGGGACCAACTACCGGAAGACGAACCCCGCCCTGGAGATCCTGCACACCAAGAGGAGCTCCTTCTGGGCACAGGCGGAGGTGAGGGGGGGCTGCCGGGCTGCCCGAGGGCTGCAGGGCGGCGTGCGGAGGAGGGGGGGATGCCAGCCTCCCTCTCTGCCTCCCTCCAGAGGGAAGAGGAGGAGCGGCGCCAGGAGGAGAGGAGGCGAGCCCAGGAGGAGAAGCAGCGCTGGGAGCACCTGCGCATGGAGGAGGAGCGGAGGGAAGCAGCCGAGCGGGAGCGCCGGGTGCAAGAGAGGGAGAGGCTCGTGCAGGAGCAGAGGTAGGCGGGCGGGCCTCGCACCAGGGACCGGCACACCCCGTTTCCCCGGCTGCCCTGTGCCCACAGCCCCTTTGCCTGACGACTAAGGCCCCAAACCTTAAACCGAGGCTGCTCCTTGCACAGAAATCGTCTCCCGGCCGTTCCCCCACGTGGCAACTGGACAATGGATGCCAGGACATCCTGGGGAATTCTGGGAGTTGCTCCATTTCTGAGCACCTCCAGCCACACTGGACTTGCCCCAGAGGGCAACCCCCCTGCCTCCCTCCCACTGCCCAGGGAGAAACAGGCCCCCTCGCCCCCTCACTGTGGCCATGCCCCCCCCCCGTTTCTCTGCCTGGAAGGATCCGTGTGAGAAGAGAGCCTGGCTGACGGGGGGGGGGCAGTGGGAGGATGGCTTAGAGTAGACTGTCCCAGAACTTGGCCATCCTGATGGGGGGGGCTCTTTCCTTTCTCCTTTTCCCTTTTTTTGCTGAATTAGCTGCCAGCTCCAGGGCAGCAGACCAACTAAGGCAGGGGTTCTCAACCTTGGCCACTTTAAGACTTGTGGACTTCAACTCCCAGAATTCCTCAGCCAGCAAACCCCTGATTTACTAAGGCCATTGTAGTCATAAACTGCAGCATCCTCAAGGGTGGCAGAAGAGGGGCCTGCACCCCTCCCCCCTTCCCCACAAGGGAGTCTGCTTTGCCAAAGAAAGGGGAAGGACCTGCCCAGACCAGGCCTCAGAGTTGGGGGGCTCCCATCTCCCCTAGGGCTTCCTGGGAATGCGCCCCATCTTCTCAGGGAGCCTGGGCAGCCCGTGCCCAGCGGGGTGCCTGCCGGAAGCTGGGTGGCTGCTGCCAGGGCAGGATTGCTGGCTTGCAAGGCGACCCCACTGACCCTGCCCCCCCCCCCGAGCTGCACTGGGCCCCCGCTCCTCAGCAGGACTGCCCCAGGATTAGCCACGTCCCCCCTCCTGCCTCCTCATCCACTGGGGAGCTATAGGCCGAGGGGCAGATCAGACTCCCCCTGAGTGGCTTTGCCCCCCTCCCCCGACCAGGAAGCAGCAGGCCCAGCGGGAAGCAGAAGAGCACCGGTGGGAAGAAGCCCGACGGGTGAGCACCCTGCACTGGCCACGGGACCCTCCTCTACTTCTGGGGACCTGGGGTGGGGGCCATTGGCAGATCATGGGAGGCGGAAAGGGAACTGCGGGAGTCCCATCTGCTCGACTGAAGGAGGTTTGGCAGGCGGAGGTCCGGCAAGTGACTCTTCACCTGTTGAACTGATGCCTGCCCAGCAACACCGAGGTCATCCTGGCCCTGAGCGTTGCTTTTCTCTCCTCTCCACCGGCAGAGGGAGCAAGCAAGGGCCCTGGCCGGGACGAGTCCTCAGAGCCGGGCCAGCAAGACGGACCCGGTGAGAAGTCGGCAGCCAGGAGGCGGCTGGCAGGGACGCCTCGGCTTGGGGTGCCGGGGCGCCAGAGGGCCGGGGACACGCTTGGTGGCTCAGTGGAGGGGGCCTGTGGCCAAGCAGAACCCCCATGTGGAGGGCTCTGGCTGCAGGGCTGCTGGGGAGGGGGTCCTTCCCCCTGGAAATGCTTCCACACAACCCCCAGCCTGCCCAAAGCCTCTACCCTCCCTCTGGAAGCGGAACCACTGTCTGCCTCTGGGATCTACAGGGGGTCTACCTCTGCTGGGGGGTGGGAGAAAGTGGGGGGGGGTAGCAGCACGTGGGAACCTCTGGGGCCCCTCATGGCTTTTCTCCTGGGCACAGGGGGTGGCAGGGCCAGGCTCACACCAGCCACCCAGGGGCTTCTTCCAGGCGAGAGAGCGACGGCACTCCTCCACCTCCGGAGAAACGGGGCCAGGTGAGCACCCTGGCCAGATCTGCCCTCACCACCCCACCCTGGGGGGGGCAATTACTTCATGGAGTAGGGAATGGGGAGGATTCTGTCTCCCCCCCAACATTCATTGACACCTGAGTAATTCAGGGCGTGGCAACTCCTGAACCTTCACAAATCCAGGTGACTTTGGCCTGTGCACGATGCACTCTGTGTGTGTGTGTGTGTGTTTAGGCTGGCTTTGCTGACGCATCTTCTCTCCCCCCCCTCCACATTGCCCGGACAGGAGTGCCGCGGCGCCCTTTCCTCCGCCACCAGCGCAGCCTCACGGAATCTGCTTACATCTTTCGCCGCCCCCCAGAGCCGAACGTCCCGGGCAGCTTCCAGGCTTCAGCGGCTCCCCCCATCGGGCCGAAGCCCAGCACGGTCCCCCACCCAGCCTCGCCCCCCACCAGCACTCTGCCTGGTCACGGCGAAGCAGAGGCAGTGCCACCACTGTGCGCCCCTCCCTGCCTGCCCCCCGCAGCCCCCTCCTGTGCTTTGAACGGCACCCCTCCTGAGCCTGCCTCACCGCCCCACCTGCCCCCCTCCCCTGAATCTGAACACTCTCCGGGAGAGGAGAGACCCCTTTTGACTCCTCTGGGGCCCTGCTCCCCTCCTGGGGAGGAATTTCTGCCCCCCAGCCATGCCCCAGAGGGGCAAATGTCTCCCAGCCCAGCCCAGGGCACCAATGGAAGGGCAATGGACTGGGAGGAGCTGCCCAGCTCCACAGCGAATTCTCCCCCAAGGGCTGGTCTAGGGGAGACAGCCCCCAAGAAAGGTAAGCCCCAAGTCTTGCTCAAGGGGGGGAGATGAGAAAGCCAGCAGCCACGTGGTGTGGGGGGGCTGCTTTGGCTTATTTGGTTGAGATTCAGGCACTGCAGGATTGTGTAAACAGCCAGAATTGGGAGGGGCTGCTTGAGCTTTGGGACCCTCTGTCAGTCACCTCCTGTTGGGACCCTGCCTCCTTGAACAGTGTGGGGGGCTGGAGGAGGAGATGGCTTGCAAGCTGAGAGTCCCAGGTTTTGTTGGCAGTCTCCCTTCTGCCTTCATTCCCACGAATTGTTTGGCTTGACCTGCAGCTAAGGAAAGTCCCTGCCTGGTTTGGGGATGGGCAGATATGGGGGATGCCCCAAAGATCGGACTTCTGCCCCGCCTTTCCTTTCCCAGGTGCTTCCCCAGGAGCTGCTCCAGGCCAGGCTGGGGCCGTGCACAGAGGGCCAGAGGGCGAGAGATGCCCAGCGGGGCAAGTGGGTGACTTGACTCATAGATGTTTTTAATCTCCTGCTCTAAGTCCCTCCTCACGGGATTCACACAGGAGTTTCCCTTCCATTGATTCCAACGACACACCCTCAAGGCAGGGCGGGGTGAGAGTGGGGCAGACCCAGAAGCTCCTGGCCAAGGTGGAGGCTGCCTCTGACTCTAGTGTGGGGCGGAGTGAGCGTGTCCCTTTCTCACAACAGCCCCCCCTTCCTTCCGGTCAGCTCAGACCTGGGGGCACACCACCTCCAGTCCTCCGGCCAGTCAGCTAACAGCTGCTTTCTTTCCACAGGGCAAGCGGCCCAACCAGGAGTGGCCAGCCTGACTGCCCGGCTTCTGCCCGCTCAGCAGAGCCGGGGGTCCCTGCTTGGAGAAGGTGCCTAAGGGAAGCCCCCACCTGCACCTGCCTGCCCACTTGGAGAAGGTGCCCTCGTGTCCCAGGACGGCCCCCACCTGCACCTGCCTGCCCACCTGTGGCCAGACCAGAGCAGCAGCTGGCTCACTGTACGTTCACACGGCTGGGTCCGTCTGCTACCAGGACTGTGATCACATAAACACGCAATGTCTGAGCAAATAAACCACTTTTTGGCTTAACGGAAGATCCTGGTTTATGGAAGGTCCTGTCGGGTCGCAGATGCGCAGGAGGCCTTCAGGGGCAGATTGGACCCTGAGATGTGTTCTTGCACAGTGTGGCTGTAACATCCTCCCTCCCCCCCTCCCAGTGCTGGAGCCAGCCTCGCAGAGCCCAGATGCCAGAGCCTTCCTCACACCAGGGGCTGTGCCAGCCTCCTCCCACAGACCCAGCCTGCACCGCAGAGGGCAAGTCAATACTCTTTAATGCATATTCACAGGGAGGGAGGGAGGAAGTCGCTGGCCTCCACACAGAGCAGTTTGGAGGGAAGGGCTGCCCACCTTGCTTCTTCCTCCAGGCAAAAGCCTGCAGCTGGGAAGGGGACAGGAAGAGGCCCGGCTGAAGGCAAATGAGAACACTCTGTCCCTGGCGAGGAAAGTGCTGGGCCTCCCTTCTGTTTCAACAGCAAGTATTCCAGTTTCTTACGAGGGAAAGCAAGGTGCTTTTCTCCTGAAAAGGGAGGCGTCTGGCCAGGAGGCCTTGCCCCACCCTCCGTGGCCAGCTGCTTCTCTAGCCAGGTCAGCCCTCGCTGGGGGCAGTGACGGGACGTGCGGCCTAGGCCAGTTTGTCTCTGCGACACAAAGCCCCTGCACAATGTAGACTCTCACCTCTCGGCAGCCTCAGACCTGGGACTGCAGCCACAAGCGAGGGTCAAACCAGGGCCGGTTGGGGGTCTGCAGGGTCCGCTCCGAGTCCGGAGATGAGCTGCAGCTGCTGGAGGATCCCGAGCTGGAGCAGGAAGGGCCAGGGGCCTTGGGCAAAGGGGAAGGCGGTGGGCGTCCTGCACGCCCCTTCAGCCTGCTGAGCTTGGCGTCCAGCGAGAAAGTGCGAGGACGGCCCCAGGGGGGTTGCGGGGGGCACGGGCCAGTGCTGGAGCATCCGTGGCTGCTGTTGGAAGCGATGCCGGGTGAGGATCCCTCGAAGAGAGAGAGCCACACGGGCTCGCCCAGGTCGGACACCCGCCGGGCCAGGATCTCCGTCACTGCCTCGATGTCATCGGCTGGCTCAATAGCTGCAGGAAAGGGGAGGGGGCTCCATTAGTGGTGGCCTGGGCAGAGCTCTCTTGTACCTGAAGAGACAATCCCCCCACCCCCCGAGAGAGCTGACTTTCTACACAAAAGCGCTCGGAAAACAGCCTTCCGGTCAGTTGGAGAGTCCGGAGGGCATTTAGCCACACATCCACTGCTTCTGTCTACTCCTCCCCCCAGCCTCCCCAAGGTTTCCTTGGCATAGCTGCCCTCTGCCCTGTGGCTGGGGGCTGTTGGCGCAGCCCTGCCGGGGCCCCTCCGCTGAGTGCAGTTACTTCACCTGTCACTGTAATAGTTGGACAGAAGTGCCCGAATCTCTGCAGAGACAGCGTTGTCCTGCAACAGAAGCCCCTCGCAGTTGGAGGGTGGCCCCCCAGCGCCAGGGAGAGCTGGGGAAGGACAGACAGACAGGAAGAGGCCAGAGAGGGACATGCAGAGAGAGGAGAGCAGGAGGAGAGCAGAGAGTTACAGGCACAGACACTGGATGGGGGGCAAGAGAGACTCGAGAGACATGGAGCTGGAAAAGGGGGCAGAAAGGACAGAGACCGTCCCCTCCAGATTCGGGAGACAGGTGTGACTTGGCGGATCCCCACAGCCCACCCTTCTGCCTCAGGGATGCCAGCCCTGTCAGCCTCACCCATCTCGTGGTACAGGGATCCCTGCTTGGGCAGCAGCAGCGGAGGGTGGCGCGGAGATGGCATCTCCACCGTCATCACTTCATCGCAGCAGTGCTTCCACTGGCCTGGGGGGATACAGAGGCATAAAGAGGGGGCTTCCCCAGGGTCCCCTGCTTGGGGAGTCCCGTGGCACCAAAGGAAGGCTGGTCTTGGAGGCCTCCCAGTGTTCTCGGCTGCAGTGGGGAGTGCCCAAGATCCAGCTTGGAGGCAAAGGTGCCCCCCCAGACACCCAGCCCTCTTGCGTCTTCAGACGGCTGCCCCCTACAAACGAGTCAGGGCTGCGTCCAGGGAGGCCTGTTCTTCTTACCCCCCCCGGGCCCAGAGGCTCCCCTGCTGCTGCCTCTCCTCCACTCACTCATGTCGTAGAAGTGCTGCCAGAAGACCTCCATCCAGCGCTGGGCCTCTGCGGGAGACTCGGCCTGCAGCATGTGGGTCACTTCCTCGCCTCCGTAGTGGTTGGTGACTGACATGCAGCGGACGGGGCCTCTGGGGCTTTTCTCGCTGGCCCGGATGCGTGTCTCCTGCCCAGGGAAAGAGGCCTGGAGGTCACTGAGGCTGTGGGGCCAGATGCTGAGCGCCTTGGACTGGGACAGAGGCAGGAAGGTGCCCAGAGAGTCTCCCCTCCAACTTCCCTGAGCAATGGGAAACGGAGCCCTCCCGTCTGCCAGTAATGAAGGGAAGCCCAGAAATGTTGAAGGCTTCGGGAAGGATTTCTGAAAGGGTGAGCTTAAGAGCGAGCATATTTTCCACTATACATATATACATACATATGCATATAGCATGTTTACACGTGTTATGTATGTGTACACTTTTGAGAGCAGGCAACAATTTCATTTTTGTGTACCAGTGTGCCCACAGTAAAAAATGACAATAAAGGTTATCTTATTATCTGCACCCAGGCAAGGGAGGGTCCCAGCCCACCCGCTAAGAGGTGTCATGGGGGCGGGCGAGGGAGGGCAGTCTGGGAAGATTTGCTCAGCTGACTCACGCGGACAGTGGACAGCAAAGAGCCAGAGTTGGCTTTTGGCCCGTGTGCCCACGAGCGGCGTCTGCAAAGGAGGCAGAGGAGCCCAGAGCAGCTGGCAAGGAGGTGGTGCTGGGCCTGCCAGGGAGCCCCAGGGGTACCTTGTTGATGGCAATGGTGAAGGCAGCCTCTGCCTGGGCCTCGGCATCCTGAGGGCGCCGGTAGCAGAGAAGGTTGGTGCCACGCAAGACGCAGAAGAGCCTCGTCCAGTCCAGCTGCTCCCCCTGCTGCACAGACAGGTGGTGAGTGCCTTGGACCCCTCCTCCTTCCCTGGGGGTTAAAGCCCCTCCCCCAGCTGCAGGAGGACCCGTCTCAGCACCCCGCCAGCTCGGGGGTCGGGAGGGCCGCTGCACGTCCCGGGCTCCCCACAGCCAGGCCTGCCCCCACCTTCCGCAGGTGAAGCCCTTACCTGCACTTTCAGGAAGCCGGCCATCACCTGCTCCACCATGCAGCTGGGCTGGGCCACCAGGCGGCAGCACAGGCTGCCATACAGGGGCAGCCAGAAGGAGCATTCCTCTGGGAGAGAAGGGGGCGTCAAAATCGGGGGTTCAGGAAAAGGTCTCGGGTCGCTGGCTCAAGCACACCAAGAACTCATCAGCCCCCCCAAGACCCCTCAGCCGCTCTGGGAGGGCCCCAACCGCAGGGGTGAGGGGTGCCCACAGCCATCTTCTGGGCCTACCGTTGCCAGTGACGAGGAGGTCATGGGTGCGAAAGGCGTCCTGGACGTGCGCCAGGCCAAGGTGGGCACAGGCCAGCAGTTGGTACTTGGGCCCCCTGGAAAAGAAGGGGCATCCTGCTGGTGAGGCAGTGGGTGGGGGCTGTAGGCTCCCCCAGGTAGGTGGGAAGGGTACTCACGTTGTGCTGGCAGCCAGGGGCAGCATCAGTGGACTGCAGCCCCCGTTGCTGCCCGGGGCGCTCCCATCCAGGGCAGCCCGCATCTGCTTCCCCGAGGACCGCCCCAGGGAGCTGCTCAGGCGGCTGGCCAGCTTCTTGGGGGTAGCGCCCAGGGCAGAGTCCCCCTCTAGGGCGGCGCTGTAGAGCTCAATTTTCAGCTCAAAGTCTGGACCGGCCTCGGTGCTGGGGAGAGAGAGAGAGAAAGGAGGAGCCCCCCCCCATGCCGGCTCTGAGCACCACCAAGATCATGGCTGGCCGCCCAGGAGCGCCAAGGCAGGGTCTCAGGGCCAACCTCTGGGCTCAGACCCGGCCAGTGAGCACCCACCTTCCGCAGGCCTCCAGGTTTCCTCCTGACCCCTCCTGGGGCACCAACCGCCATTCCCACTAGGCCCCAAAAGGCCCAATTCCACCCGAGATGGAATGAGTGAGATGGGGCCCCCTCCTCCCCTCCCCTGCCTGCGTGGGGGCGGATTGCAGAGTGTCCGGCGAGGCTCACAAGAGCACGGCGTTCTCAAAGCAGAGGTCGGCCAGCGTCCGGTCCGCCAGCACCATCTCCGTGTCGTAGATTTCCGTGCCAATCTGCAGCAGGCAGAACACCGCGCAGCGATGCAGGTCTGGGGAAAGGGGTAAAGCCGGGCATTTAGGGCCCCTGCTACAATCCCCACAGCTCCAAGGCCATTGTGGCACACCCACCCACACCCACAGACACGCTTGATCTTCCACGGTGGATCCGCAGGCACTGGAAGTTGCAGAGAAGCCTCTTCCAAAGAACGAGAGGCTGGCTGGGACCTGCAGATTCTTGGGCTCAGCCAAGGGAATAGAAGCTGTTTTGATGCCCCCGAGTCCTGGGACAGAGCTTGGCATCGCCCTTTGCCTCAGGCTGGCCTGTCTTAATTGGCGCTGTACCCACCCCACCCTGCTGCTCCTCAGCTCCATTCCAAACTGACTGAGTGGCAATCAGGAGGAAACATGAATGCATGGAAAGCAAAAGCAGAACTAACAGCACTAACCACCAGGTGGCCGAAGTAACACACTAACATGCACCAACACGGGCTCGCCAACAGCCGTGTTTTCTCAGCCCTGCAAAAATCCAGCCAGGAAGCAGCTGTCCCAGCCACGGGAGGGGCCTATCGGGGAAAAGCCCGATTCCCGGGGCCCTGCAAGTGAATCTCCCTCAGCAATGGGACCCACAATGGTATCGAGCGCTTCAAGAGGAGGAGACCCCCGTGGAAAAAGCTGCCTTCTGAACATCTGAAGGGACCCTGGCTGGGAAAGGCCAGGATCATTTCTATGCACCATTTTTTATTTAAAACGAGGTGCAAAGGACACAAAGACAGCAGGGGGACAAGGTCAGCCGGGCATCTGTGGCATTGCAAGCATTGGCCAAATTCGGGCATCCTGACTTTTGCCAAAGGGTCTCCGGTACACAAGCTTGTTCTAAGCTTGCAGATCCATAACGCCCTGGAGTGAAGTCTGTACGTGAGAAACAAAGGGAAGGGAGGGGGAGACAGACTATGTGGGGAGCACCAGTCAGGGAACCTACCCCCCTTGTTCTTGAAATATTCCGTGTCCTTCCACATCAGGGGGATCCGCAGATCTGGAAAAAAGGAAAGAGTGGCAGGCCACAATCTCAGTGACCACACACAGCAGCAGGGCCACCAATGGTTGGCTCATTGACGATCACAAATCTTGCCCCCCCCCCATTCTTTAGACCAAGGTGGAGGGAACTGGGTGGAGGATGGTGCCCGCTCATGAGGAGGCCTCCCCTCTTTGGGGGAAAGGCTTCTCTCCTGGATGGCTGAGGACGTGCTGAGCTCAGCCTCCTCCAAGTGATCTCTGCACTTCGCAGAGAGCAAGTCGGGAAGTGGATCGCTCCTGAACAGAAGCCGGGCGGGTTGTGGTTAGCCACCAGGGATCCCCGCTGCAGGTCACGACCCTCTTCAAAACGGGGTGCTGCCGTGCACCAGTCCCGGCTGTGCACAGGCTGCCCTTTGGGCTTGGGGGAGCCTCATCTGCCCCCTCCCTGGCCCCAAAGGTCTAAGGGACCGAAGGCTGAGCCTGGCTGGGCGAGATGGAGCCGGAACAGAAAGGCAGGATTAACTGGGCAAAAATCAACATCTCTGCTGGTGAAAACTCCAGTACCATCCCTTGACTGGAAGACAGTTACAAAAATGCCAGGGCAGCCGTCGTGCCAGTTTCATGCCGTGTCTGAATGGGCCCATCTGCAGTTTGCACCCGCCGGAAAAGAGAAGGCAGCACAGCCAGGAGCGGAAGCTTCTCCCGCCTCCCTTCGCAGGCTCCGTTTCTTTAGCCCAGATCAGATGAAGCCAGGAGGGCAGCCTTGGGGTGCAGAAGTACTGGATGTCTCAAAAACTGTCTTCTTTCGGCGTGGTTCTTCTATTATTTCTAGCAAAACTTTCCTGATAAGCGAATATTAATACTAATGATACTAATAGTATCATTTGCTTGCTAGGTTCCTCTTTCAAACCATAAAGCGTGAATTACAAAAAGACTTGCTCTATTCTCTCATCTAATAGCTGAGGCTGGAAAGGTCTGTATGTGCAGCAAAATAAACGTCCCATTGAGGAGCCCTCAACGGGGACGAGACCCTCCTTCCCATTTCTCTTCTTGCTCACTGAGGGGCAGGCCTATGTGGGGGGAGCCCAGCCCAGCCAGGACCAGCCCCTCCTTACCCGAGACACAGATTCGGCCCCGGCAGGGTAAGCGACTGTCTGTGGGTCCAGCCTCGGAAGGACTAAGTTGTGGGGCAGGATGTAGATATAGAGATAGAGAGAGGGGGGGAGGGAGGGAGAGAGAGAGAGAATTATTAAAACAATTACAATTACTAAAACGCCGCAATACAAACACAGAAGGTATGACTGGCAGTCACCAGAAAAACAATATTTCTTATTAGCAACTGAGAAAATCAAGCATGAACCGAGTGAAGCAGTTTTGCTGGGGGGTGGGGGGGGTGGATAACATGAACAGGGGGTCACTAACAAGGAGGCTTTCCTTGCCTCCTTCCCCACATTCCCTGCTGCTCCTGCTGCTCCTTCCCAGGGTGAGGCAGCCCCAAAGATCCTCGACTGGCTCCCAGACCCCCCCCCGTGGGAGGACCGGGGAAGGCGTAGGAGCAGGGAGGGGAAGGGAAGGGGACCCGGGGCGGAGGGAGCCTGAGCAAGTGTCCATGGCAAGAGGAACGGGCGGGGAGGGGGCCTCCAGGATGCCCGAATTTCTGCTTCCGCGGCCGGATCTCGCGGGCCCTCTGCGCGCGTCTCTCTGCACACCCACCCCGCAAGGCTTCCAGCCGGCCCCTTCCCTCCCCCGCTGGGGCCAACTCACCGCCGAGCCATGTGCTGCATCACCTGCGCCTCCTTCATGCGCTGCAGCTCCGCCATGTAGGCCAGGATGCGGCTGTTGCAGACCAGCAGGCTCTTGGTCACCTCCAGCGCCTGCGGCCGCTGAGTGCACGCCGCCAGCAGCTTGCAGGCGCCATCCCGCATGCGGACCTCGTGGTCAATCTTCTTCTGGAGGTCTGTGCCCTGGGGGGGGAGGGGACTTGGCTGAAGGGGTCGGGGGCAAGGGGGGCTCTGGGGGAGCCTCCTCACTGATCCACTTGCAGGGGCGTTTCAGAAGAACAGAGCCGGCTGCACCAGAACCGTAACAGTTGCCACACATCTGGAGGGCACCGTCCCCCGTCTCCCCCCCCCCACTCATGAAAACACAGCTTTGCTCTGAAAGGACGCATTTCACTGCAGGGGTGGCAGGGACCCGATGCCCCCCCCCAAAAAAAAATATCAGGATGGTCACTGCTCTAAAATGTGGGAGAAGCTCACAGCGGACCCTCTCCGGTGAAAATCCTCCCCCATCTGGCCCTGGAGAGGAGCCGGGCAAGAAGGCCCTCAGGCTGCCCCCCCCCAGCAAGGGCTGCCAGTGCCCCCCCCCCGCCATCTCATTCTCAGCTTTTGCAGCAGCTGCAGCCCGAGAGGCTCGCCCCCCACTGGTGCCTGCAATGCTGGGGAGGGGGGGAGAAGGGGCTCAGCTCTTTTCGGGATGGCCCAGAGGCCAACCCAGACGGGCTGCGCTGCTGGGATGGGCGGGGGGGGGAAGGAGAGCAGGCTGGCTTTTGACCCTCTCTCCTTCCCCCATCAGCGCCTTAATTGGGACCTAAGGAGGTCGCCCCCTCCTCGGAATGTGCTCGGCCGTTCCCAAGACAGCGCTGGCTGTTCCGGCAGCCGCCTCCTCCTCCCCCAGCTCCGAGCTCACCCTGACCGGCTTCCCGTTCTCCATGCCGCCGGCTCATAGCCCGGGGCCGCCTCCGCCCCGTTCGCTCCGCTGCGGCGAGGTCCTCCTGCTGGCGGCAGCTGCGCCGGAGGGGAGGGGGCGTCTGGGCAGGGTCTGCGGGGGGAGCTGTGACATCATCGCTGCCTAAAAATAGGCCGGCTGGAATCTGCGGGGGCCGGAACGCCCCGCGGGGAGGAGAGAGTTGCGGAGGGACCCCCGCCCAAAGCCCAGCGCCCTCGCCGCGGGCCTGCCTCCTCTCCGGAGCAGAGAGGGGGACCCCCATGCGGAGAGGGGCGGCTGATGGACGGGAAGGGCTGAGGCTGAGGAGGCAAATGGGGAGGGGTCACCACGGCCATTCAGTGCCAACGCAAAAGAGTGAGTCTCAGAGGCGTTTCTGCTCCCATGCCATCCGCTGCGCCCCTCTTGGAGGGGGACCCCAGCGGGGCACCCTCTCCATTTCTCCTCAGCCTATGTATCTGTTTTCATTTGCCCCCAAACCAGATCCCCCCCTCTCCTGCCAGGGCCCTCAGCCTCTTCTCTGGACAAAGAGAAAGCAAAGGGGGGGGGAGGCCTTCTCAGCTTCTAGCTTTGCCAGTCTCAGGACGACAGAGGTCCAGGTTGAAGGACCCCCTGCCCCCCCCAGCAGACAGTGGTCTGCCTGGCAGTCTTGAGAGACAGCGGTCACCCCAAGCTCTGGGGTCCTTCCCTGGCTCGGCGGGTGTGTGTGTGTGTGTGTCTTAATATTGGGCAGCTGCAAGCAGTAGATATCCATGCATCTGCAGCCACAATGGGGCCATCCCTCCCAAAATCTGTGGAGCCACTTGATGCCCTTAGGGCAGTGGTTCTCAACCTGTGGGTCGGGACCCCAAATGGGGTCGAATGACCATTTCATGAGGGTCGCCAAACAAGGCTGTCCGCCATTTTTTCCCCTTTTCTTTGGCCACGCCCCTGGCACCCGGTGATGTATAAGTGGTTGGGGGTCACCACAACATGGGGAACTGTATTATGGGGTCGCGGCATTAGAAAGGTTGAGAACCACTGCCTTAGGGGGTCCCAGGCAAGGTGTTTTATTTCTCACCAGCATTGCCCCATTCCAAGATCCAGGAGAGGAAGCCAAAGCAAGCGGTGGCACCTCCTGCCAACCACCCACCCCCGTCTCTTGGGCAGCTGAGCAGAAACACACCGAGTTCCGGGGCTCCAGCCCCTGAAGGGCCCAGGGCAAGAGGGAGCTGGGCAGTGCCCACCAAGCCTGCTTGGCCACTGACAGGTTAACGGGAGGAGTAGGAGAGCCAACAGGTGGAGCTCACAAGACGCAGCAAGGTCGCCAAGCGAGGCACAGGCAAAGCGCATGGCAGCCGTGGCTAAAGGGCCCCAGGCCAGGGAGCCCCTCACAGCCTCTCTCTGCCTCTCGCCACGCCAGAGGGTGAAGGAAAAGGGCCCCTGTGGGAGGTCACCAAGAGGCTGCGGGATGAGAGCAGCACTGCTACTCTTGGGGGGGTCACCAGGGGATCCCACTAAGACCCAGGGAAGTCAAAAGTGTATCCTGGAAGGCAGCCATACGGTTGACACCCAAACCGGGGGACGCACCTGTGGAGTCCCTGCGCTCCCCTTAGACTGAGCGGCTCCCCCAGTTTGCAGCCCCTCCCGAGGAACAGGAGCCTCCCCAGGAGGGCTCCTCTCTGCCCTTGGGGGCCAAGACACAGCCCTTCCCCCCCCCCAGAGCCGCACTGGTGAAATAGGCGACGATATAAATGGAGATACATACACCTACACACACCCACATGCTGACCCACACCCACAAACATTCCCCCCACCCCTGAAAGCAACAACGTCCAGCAGCAGAGCAGCCCGGATGCCCCGGACACAGTACCTCTAGGCTGAGGGCGATCTGCCGGATGTAGAGCATGTTCAGGTCCTCCAGGATGTGCAGCCTGTCCTGCATCACCCCAGGCCCCCCGTTCGGCCCCTGAGGCCCACCTGGAGGTGTGGCTTCAGAGCAAGTACCCACAAACTGGGCTTCCCATGGAGCTTGACCGCAGCACGCTCTCAGGCTGCTTTGGAGGCAAGGCGCGCGGGGGGGGGAAGGGCAGCGGGCTCAGCGCTCCGGCCCCTCCGTCAGCAGATGCCGCTCCCCTGGGCCAGCTGTGGAAAGAATAGGCCCTTTCTTCGTGCCAGCCCAGCAGCTCCAACGCCCACCCTGAGAACAAGCAGCCACTGTGCCTGAAAGGGCAGGGCTGGGGGGCCCAGAGGCTGCACCCTACTGCCAGGCAGGACACAGCCCTCCTATCTGCCTCCAGGCTCTGCAGCGCCACCACCCTCTGCCAGCCAGGGGGGGCTCCCCGGAAGGGCCAGTTTGGATGGAGGGGCTTTGGGGTGCCCCGTCAGGCGGATGCTGCCGCCCCCTGCTGCCCGCCTGGGAACTCTCCTCTTTCCCAAACCGAGAGTGGAGCAGTGGAGGCTCTGCCCCCTTGCCCCCCCCCAGCCCTTACCTCCTGTGCGACTACAGCCGCCTTTCCTTGCCCACGTCCCCCTGCCCTTCCTTCCTGGGTCGCAGGCGCTCCATGCACAGGAAATCTGCCTGGCTTCCACCCCCCCCCCTCCCCACCAGCCTTCCTGTTCCAGCTCATCTTACAAGGGCCGCCCCTCCAAGCTGGCGGCTCCAACAGCCTCCCTTTCCCTTTAGACGCGTCCCTCCTGCCCGCCCACCCTGCGATGGAAGGAAGCAGGCGGGTGGGCAGCCCCTTGCCCCAGGCCCCCCAGCACTCACGGCAGGGGAGGGGACCAGCCCGCTCTGCCCACTGGCCCCAGCACCATCCCAGCTCCAGCCCCGACGCTTCTCTGTTCTCTGTGGTCCAAGCCCCAGCCAGAAGCCCCCCAGGCAGTGCCAGCCCTCAGCCACCAGAGGGCGGCCAATGTCCCCCGGTGGGCCAAGAGGAGCTCCCCCCCAGACAGATGCGGGGGGGGGGCTGTGCCACCACCTCTGGCACCAACCAACTCTTCAGGTGGCTCTTCCTGGGGTGCCATCCTCTGTGAGGCGATGTGGAAAAATGTGCCCTGGACAGGAGAATGAGATGCTGGGGGGGGGGTTTCTCTTGACGAGACCTCCCTGCAGGCCTGGCCCAGGCTTTTCCCTTCTCCTAGGGCTGAGCAGATGCTGGGGGGGGGGGGGCAGGGGAGATCTGAGCATGGATTCCACAGCTGGAGGTACTCCTGAGCCCCCCAACGTGGACCGTGGAGATCAGTCTTCAGTTAATTTAACTAATACGATCTGAGTTAATGGCCAGCAGCCCCCGTCTTGTGGCCGTGATTGCCCCAGGTTGGCGATTTCCCCCACGGGCTTCCCTCTGCCTGTTCCAGTTGCCCTGAAGGAGGCCTAGGCCAGCCCCACAGTTTGAGGAAAGGGAGATAAAGGCGGGTCATGTAGTTGCTTTGAGCATCCTCCCCCCCCCCAACCTCTAGAGCAGGGGTCCTCAACCTTGGCCACTTTAAGACTTGTAGACTTCAATTCCCAGAATTCCTCAGCCAGCAAAGCTTGTGGAATTGAAGTCCACAAGTCTTAAAGTGGCCAAGGTTGAGGACCCCTGCTCTAGACAGTCCCAAACACTTGAACCTCTCCTCACAGAGGTCAGAAGGTATTCCCCCCCATTTCCTTTTGGTGGCACCACTTATTTATTTATTTATTTATTTATTTATTTATTTATTTATTTATGAGACTCATATACCGCTTTAAGTGCAAGCACTCTCTAAGCGGTGTACACCAGTAAGCAATGTATATATATATATTTACATTGCCCCCAACAATCTGGCTCCTCATTTTACCTACCTCGGAAGGATGGAAGGCTGAGTCAACCTTGAGCCGATGAGATTTGAACCGCTGACCTGCTGAACACCGTCAGCTAAAGTAGCCTGCAGTACTGCACTCTAACTGCTGCGCCACCTCGGCTCTTTCTTGCATTTTTCCAGCTCTATGGCTATGAATTCTGCTTCAAAGAGCATCCCCCCAGCCCAGCCCCAGTGCAGAGGAAGGATCTGTGCAATGGGGCTGCAGGGTTTTGTCCTCAGCTTCTTTCCTAAAGCTGCACAGCCTGGAATCTGCTTTTTTCACCGGGGGGGGGGAAGGCTGGTGCCCAGCGCCTTCCTCTGGCCCTGGCGAACGGGAGGCAGCTCAGATCTGAGCAGTTTTGTCCCCTCCTGGCTTTTCCTGAATTTGAGCCGCATCTGCCGTGTGGCTGACCGGGTGGGCCATTTCAGTCATTCTCGGCTTTTGACCGTCAGGAATGATTTTGTATTGTTGTCCAATTCACTGCCCACCTCTGAGTCGCCTGAGTGGTCCACCATGGTCCCTTAAGGGACCCAGAGCGAGAAAACTGCCCATTTGCTCCCCTCCCCCCAGTTGCTTTCTGTTCTTTGCCCAGCTTGCCACCCACAAGGGAAGAGGCAGCCCTTCCCGAGGGATTTGCATTGCAGGGCCGGCCGCCCCACTTTCCTCCAGGGCCTGCGGAGACTCTCCCGTGTGATCCAGCTCCCTGTCCTTCCATGCATGCCTTCTACAGGGTGCCTTCCAACACTATTATTGCCTGCTAGAAGAGCTAGGGCAAATCTAGACAGCATACTAAAAAGCAGAGACATCACCCTGCCAACAAAAGTGCGTATAGTCCAGGCCATGGTTTTCCCAGTTGGAATGTATGGATGTGAAAGTTGGATCATAAGAAAGGCTGAGCGCAAAAGAATTGAGGCCTTTGAACTATGGTTCCGGAGAAGATTCCTGCGAGTCCCTTGGACTGCAAGGCGCTCAAACCGGTCAGTCCTGGAGGAGATCAGCCCCGACTGCTCTTTAGAAGGCCAGATCCTGAAGTTGAAACTCAAGTACTTTGGCCACCTAATGAGAAGGAAGGACTCCCTGGAGAAGGGCCTAATGCTGGGAAAGATGGAGGGCAAGAGAAGAAGGGGACGACAGAGAATGAGATGGCTGGATGGAGTCAGTGAAGCAGGAGGTGTGAACTTAAATGGACTCCAGAAGATGGTAGAGGACAGGAAGACCTGGAGGAACGTTGTCCATGGGGTCGCGATGGGTCGGACACGACTTCGCAATTAACAACAACAAAGAAGAGGTTTGGGCTGGACCATGCATCTTGGGGCTGGGACATGCCACTGAAATAAAGACAAGGATAGAGAAAACTCGAACAGCATTCTTCAAAATGAAAAAGGTCTTCTGCAGTCACGACAGAAGCCTAAGACTGAAAATCAGGCTTGTCAGATGCTATATTTTTTCTATCCTGCTCTATGGAGTAGAGAGCTGGTCTCTGACAGAAGGCCACCTGAAGAGACTAGAAGCATTTGAAATGTGGATTTACAAGTGGCTCTTACGTATAAGCTGGGTTGACAAGATCAGAAATGAGGAGGGGATAAGCCGCCTGGGAAAGCCAAGGGAAATCATCAAAACAATTAAAAAACGAAAGCTAGAATATTTCGGACATGTGATGCGACACCAAGAAAAATACGGCATACTCCGTTTAATCCTCCAGGGAAAGATGGAAGGCAAACGAGGTCCAGGCAGAAGAAGAACATCGTGGCTTCAAAATCTAAGGGACTGGTTTGGACAAAACTCAGCAGCACTTTTTTGTGTGGCTGCTGATAAAAACAGGTTCGCCAACATGATCGCCAACGTCCAATAACGGATATGGCACAAGAAGAAGATGCATCTTGGGAGCCTTCCCTCTCAAGCCCTTCTGGAGCTTAGCAGGATCCTTGTTATATTCCTGTGCATTTGTTTGCTCCCTGGGAACAGCAACCCCCCCCCCCAAGGAAACCCTATCCATATTTTAACATTCGCCAGTTACCTGCGCTCTCACTGTTTTTCAGAGCACTTATGACTTCCTGTTTGTTGTTTTTTTCTAATATAGATTCAGCATTTGCCATTTCCTCTCCACCCACCACTATCCTCTTTTCCCTGCACAACTCAGTTAGACTTCTTAGAGAATTCCCTCACTTCAGTTTTACCCCGGATCACTTCGTTTATTTTTAATCCCGTTTTCTCTGCTGAAAATTCCTCATTTGGCTGCTTCACCCATTTCCAAAACTGTCCCTTCTGTTCACCAAAATTGCTCTGCATTTTCTCCACTCTTTTAAGGGTTGCTTGCTCTTCTGCCCTCATTTTCTTGCAATTCTCTGTAATTCTCTGTATGGATTATTCTAAACCTTTCTCTGATCCTCAATGCGTGCAGAAATGATTTTCTTTTGTGAATTTTTCTTAGCCTCTCACTTTGTTCCACCAAGCCTTCTTTCCACCCCTTCTATTAGCACAAATCCGCACCCTCCTGTTTTGCTCTGCAACATAATTTACTCTCTGGGTGTGTGTGTGTCCACTTTCAATTTCCATTTTTCAATTTCTAGGGAGATCTTCAGCATAAATGAATCGAGTAGGGGTTTTTTTTGTTTCTACTGAACCCTTCGCCATATGTACATACAAAGGTTGGCTTAAACAGAGAATTTTCTAAGCAGGAACTCCCTATTTTTATTCATTTTAGACCTCTCATGGCCCAGTGGCTTTTCTTTCTTATTTCCCTTCATAATCATCCACTTAGGTTACCTTGTATAATGTATTTTTTTTTTCCATGAAATTTCTCCCCAACTCCTCCCAGCAGTTTCCTTAAATGCGAGTCTCACCAACATACAGATTCTTATGTTCATACATAGCTGTAACAATGATTTACTCATTCATACTTTTTAGCCCTTCCCTTCAACTCCACTCACCATGATCAGCCCCCCCCG